GTCTCGATATTAGCTAATAGAGAGAAAATTGTTTGTGGAGATGAAAGCTGTTTTTTGGTGGATTTTGAATGATTTGAAAGTTTTGATAATCAGATGGGTTTGATATTTGGATGGAAAATTTTTTTTATTTATCTGTTCTTGAATGGATCTTTAAATTGTTACGTTGGTAAAATGTCGAACAAGATGCCATTTTGGGAAAAATTAGTCAAAACGCCACACCCACAAAAATTAGTCAGAACGCCACATACAAAAAATTGAACAAAACGCTACACCTACAAATTTGGACAAAACGCTACACCTACAAATTTGGACAAAACGCTACACCTACAAATTTGGACAAAACGCCACACCTACAGAAATTGGCAAAACGCCACACCTACAAAAATTGGACAAAACGCCACACCTACAAAAATTGGACAAAACGCCACACCTACAAAAATTGAACATAATGTCTTAGAGGCAAAAATAGGAAAAAACGTCACACCTACATAAAATTTGACAAAACGCCAGACCTCCAAAAATGGGACAAAACGCCACACCTACAGAAATTGGACAAAATGCCACACATACAGAAATTTGACAAAACGCCACACTTACAAAAATTGGACAAATTTTTCCCTTACCAGAAATCATTATCAATGTAAATACCGTAATCTCTTGTAACTTTTATTGCCAGAAATAAAAGGATCGGCGTAAAAATGATAGAAAATAAAGGAAATAGAAGACAAAAAGAAAAGGAAAATTGGACTTGATGTGATGACGTGATTTCTTTTCAGCTGTTTGTGCAACTTTATTTTATTGCGTAAATCGCGCAATAATTGTTTGAAAAGAAAAGTTGTTTTCTTATTTAGCATAAAAAAGAGGATTTATTTTGAAAAAAGAGACAAGAGCGGATATTTCTTTGCTTTATCTTTCATTTTTTATTGTTTTTTGTTTCTTTCTTGTTCATTTTCTTTTATTTTTAAACCAGACAGACAACTCGTCGTCTCCCCTGTTTTTAATAATTTTTGGAATTCTTTTTTGAAAAATTTAATTTTTTGGTTATTCAAATTTAATGTGGTAGAGTGTCCCTTAGATTAGAGTGACTTGATTTCCCGTCTCTGTTGATGCCTGAAAGCCGGACAAACGCTAACATTTTTTCGATCCGTAACCCGATCAGGACAAATTTTGTAAACCCGATCCGATAAATTTAAGGTATGCTTTTTAAAGTTTGGTTGGCCAATAGGCGAGGGAGCTGTCAGGAACACTCTTCACGGAGGGAATACTTTTCACAATTAGTAATAGACCGGGTTGAAAAGTAGAGCCTAGTACGAAAAATAGACCCTACTTCTCAACCCGGTCTGTAACTGATTGTAAACAGTGTTCCCTCCGTCAATAGTGTTCCTAACAGCTCCTCACTTGTTGGGCAAACAAAATTTTAAAAGTATACCTTAAATTTAGCTTTATAATTATTCAGTTAACGGTGTTTTTCGATAATCTCGAAAGAATAAATTAATTTAAAAAAATTTTAATTTTGCTCGAGATAATAATCTCTCAAGATTATCCTCTCGTAGAGAACACTAGGTATTATTTAACTTATCTTATAGCAAGACTGTACTTTAATTTTCCTAATTTATTTTTTTAATTTTTGGTTTAAATGTCATTGTCCGTTAAAATCAACCCTTATTTGCTATCTTCAATCTCCCCATTCATTTAAATTTTCTCCCAAATTTCATCATTAATCCCTTTATTCTTCCAGTTTCCCCCTTCCCCCTCTTTAATTTATTTAAAATCCAGTTGAAAAAACTGTTCAGTTTTCTCTTTAACTTGTCTCATTTTTGATGAGGAGAGTGGAAAGTTGCGCTAAAAAACGTTCTATTTGTTCCGGTTCATTTTTCGTTTTTTTAAACATTTAATTAATATCTGTTCATTTTTCGCTTTATTTTTAAAAAGGATTAAAAAATAAAAAAATATCTTTGCAACAAAATAAATTATTGTTGTATCCTTTAATAGACTTTAATTTTAAACTAAGATTGACTTTAAGAAATTAAAACTAGAGACATGACCGGGAGTGTCGTACGAGAATCGAGATCTCGAAAAATCTCGATGAATTCTCGATCTCGATAATCGAGATTTTAATCGAGATCTCGTCGGTTTACAGTCTCTAATTTAAAAAATGAATTTTTTTGTTAAATATTTCATTTCCTGTTTAAAATATTATGAATCGTTGTTCGAAGACCAAAAATTTTTTAAAACTCTAGACAGACTGTAATTAGATATGGGTGGCATGAGAGGGATCCTCTGCGGGATTTCAGAGATCCTTTGATTTCTTTCAATTTTTTGGATTGTTGGATCCTGGGATTAATCCTCTAGAAAAATCCTGTAGAATCCCATGCATAAGAAAAAAATTTAAGAAAATCCTTTTCTGATTCTTACGGATTGCGAGTTTGTTGCTAGCAAGACCAAGATGAATACAACCCTAGAAAATTCTTAATTCCGGATTTATGCGTCTCTATATTTTGTATATACAGTACTTTTCATAATTTCTTTATTGTTACATTTACCCAGACCTGGTCACGGATACTGAGATATCCGTATCCGCATATTTACGGCGATACAGGCAAATACAGGCGGATATCCGCAGGCATTTTGATATTATCTGTATCCATATCCGTATCCAAGGGCAGGTCTGCATTTACCTTACTTTCTCATTTTAAATAATACATAAATTCAAAAATTAGGGAATGAATGGCGATGTTTTAGACAATTCTGTTTCTTCACTACTAACTTCAGAATCCTCAGAAAAATCACAACAATCATTCAATTATTCTTCAACTAACAACAATTCTAATAATAATGACAACGGTTTAACCTCAGTTTTACACGGATTTATAGTTAACGGTTTAGCTTTGACTGCAATGATGAAAACAGAAATGGGGGAGAATGGGGAGGGGGAACAACAACAACAAAATAATTCGTTGGAAGATATTAACGAAGAAATTAATGATGAAATGAAGCTAAAAAAAACAATTCAAAGCACTAGCTCTTTCAAACCCCAAAACAATTTAAATTTTAATAATTCTTGGCGTTGTGCCCAACAAATGGAAGAAAATGACATTTCATCCCATTTTGAGAGAAAAAAGTTTTTGAACGCAAATTTTGGATTTTTTGAAGAGAACGGGAAGGAAACGAAGAAAAATTGTGAGAATAATGATTTTGGAAGAGTAAACAACTCGAAGCTTCAAGAAGAAGACGATAACCTTCAAAATTTTCAATTAGAAAAATTCAAGAAAACAAACAATTTTTCCCTCTTTTCTACCAAAATGTTGATGACAACAATGAATGATTTGGGAAATAATGATGGATTGGAGGATCAAATGTCTCATTCTTCCTATAAAAATAATCTAAGGGATATTGGCGTTAATGAGGATGAGGATAATTTAAAAAACGAAATAAACAGAACGCCAACAACAAACATTATGCCAACAGCAAACATTATGCCAACCTCAAACATGCCAAAAAAGAAGAAGAAAAAGCCTTATAAGGAATTAACCTTAGAACAAAAAGTCGAGTTAATCCGCCTCGCAGAGCGCTGCACTAATCTAAGCCAAGCAAGTATAGCAGAACGATACGCTATTGCAAAATCAAATGTTTGTAGAATTTTGCAAAGAAAAACGGAATATGTTAGGGCCTTGGAATGTGCTGGGTTTGCCGGTTCGAGGAAGAGAAAATTGAGGACAGCAATAAATTTGGGGGAAGAAAATTTGGAAATGATTAATGGGGAAATGAAAAATAATAAAAATATTGGTGGGGGAAGAGGAGGAAGAAATAATTTATTTGTGGATGTGGAAGAGGAGGAAGAATTGAATAATAATAATTGTTTTAATTTTCTGTGTGATAAAAAAGATATTGATAAATTAATGGAAGGAAGTTGGAAGAATGGAGAGATTGGGGCAAATCTGGATTTGAATGGAAATGAAGAAGAAGATGATAAGTGGTTTTTGAGTTGATACAGTCGAATCTCGATAACAAATCTCTCCCACATAGTTACTCTCATTATTCTCTACACACCTTGGTCCCAAGTGATGTGTAGCGAATTTCACCCCAAATATAAAGTTTCTTCCACCTAGACGTTGAATTTTTTTGGTCTCTATGTTAACGTCTTGTCGAGATCCGACTGTATAGTTAGTTATTTTAGGGGATGTAAACAGGTTTCGAGATTGCGAACAGAATATTCCCTGACAATACTAAAGTCTGGAAATTTGGAACAATTGTCACGTGTTCCCAAACGATTCTAATGAGAGAATCCTTTTTGCGACGAAAAAGAGAAAAGAGAATTTTCCAATAGAAAGAGTTTGCAAAAGTTTAGCCACCGGGCAGGATTCGAACCTGCGACCACCTGGTAGTTGTTGCTAGGCGCTTTCGCTCACTATATGCAGGAGCTCTACCTCTGAGCTACCGGGGCATCGACTAATGCTTTCTCTTTTTCCTTTTTAGATCGTTTATCCACCGCCTAAGCGTTTTAAATGCTGCTAGGTGAATCATCCTTACATCTCCATCCCTACATCAGACCGGTCCCTCGGTCAAGCGCCATGACCGTGGATCGGCTGGTTCACCCAGCAGCAAGTGAGGATCCCTGTTAGCGGCACCAGAAAGAGTTTGCAAAAGTTTAGCCACCGGGCAGGATTCGAACCTGCGACCACCTGGTAGTTGTTGCTAGGCGCTTTCGCTCACTATATGCAGGAGCTCTACCTCTGAGCTACCGGGGCATCGACTAATGCTTTCTCTTTTTCCTTTTTAGATCGTTTATCCACCGCCTAAGCGTTTTAAATGCTGCTAGGTGAATCATCCTTACACAATTTCTAGACGAAAAATGGTCTAGAAATTGGAACAAGGATTTCTTTTGGTCATGTCAAGTTTTGAGTTCTTAATCGGTTAAGTTCCTTAATGCCCACAACTTTTTATACTATAGGCATTTTTAATTTCTCAAAAGATTATTTGGGCAAAGAGGTTATCCGCAAATGTCAATCGTTGGTTAAGCTTCGAAAAATAGAATTTCTGTAAAATAAAATTCAATAATTCTCTCCTTTTAGGTGGTACATCTGCCTTAAGCTCTCACATGTCTACAGTACATTGTCAGAAAAGCCGCCGTGTTATTTTATGCCGTTGTTGCAATCTGGCATTTCGTGATAAAAATGAATTACAAAAAAATTTAAAAGTAAAATTTCATTTTATTTAAGGATGTTTAGAAAAATTCGAGCCTGATTCCAAGTCGGAACGAGTGCTGAATCCAAATCCAGACGATTCATTTTTTCGTACACTATTAGTAGCCCCCCCCCCCCCCCACTCACACCCCTCCCTTTTTGTGTAGTTTGCCCCACCCCCCATCTCCTCTCCCTCTCATTCCACTCTCTTCAATGTGCACAAACAACATCTCGAAAATGTTCTCATAGTATTAAGATAAAAGTGGGATATCAGTATCTAATTTAATTTAAAATTATTTTTCACTTTTTAAAGGATCGTAATAACACAACTAATGATGGAACTTCTTCGGAAGATGTATTGCTGCCAACAATAGAAAATCATCATCCACCAAATTCTCCAGAAAAACACCAAAATTCCCAACATGAAAATGCAAATGGGGGACAAATAGAAAAATTAAATAATTCAAAAAACAGCAACAAAATTCAGTTTTAAAAAATTTAATTTTAAAAATTAATTTAATTAACTAATTTAAGGGTTGCGGAGTCAAGCAATAGAGCAAATGAAAGTGTTGAGGATACATCAACAATAACATCAGCCTTCCAACTTTTACAACAACAACAACAACATTTTATTTTAGCAAATTTATGGAGCAACATATTTAGCCGCCAACAAACAGAACAAAATACGCAAGAAAACACAACAATAAATATTGATAATTGCAACAATGAAAATGGAATGGTAAAGGAATCAAATTAAATAAAATACAAAAATCAGAATTTTCTAAAAACATTTAGAAGAAAAATACAGAAATCAGAATTAATTTAAAACATTTAGAAGAAAAATACGGAAATCAGAATTTAATAAAAACACATAGTTTTAACACAAAAATCAGAACTTATTATAAACACGAAAAATTAAAATACTCAAATCAGAATTTAACAAAAACATTAGAACTAAAAGATCAGAATTTGTAAAAACCTCAGAACTAAAAGCAAAAAACAGAATTTACATAAATCAGAATTTATTAAAAACATGCATTAATTTAATATTAAAATCAGAATTTAATAAAAACATGTCGAAGAAAAATACAAAAACCAGAATTAATTAGAAAAATATCAGAATTTAATAAAAACAAAATAGAAGAAAAATACAAAAACCAGAATTAATTTTAAAAAATCAGAATTTAATAAAAACAAAATACAGTTCTCATCACAACATGGTCATTCTGCAGTGTCTTCAACAAAAACAAATGAAAGTGTTAATATTTTTAATTGTCTAAATTCCTCATGTTCAACTTCCTCAAACCATTGTTCATCATCTTCTTCCTCTTCCTCCTCTGTAATTGTTCAAACAACAAAAATAGCAACAAACAAAACCTCAACTTTAACCTCCCCCTCTATAATTAATTCTTCTTCTCCAACAGATTCGGAAAACGATTTAATTTTAACCACAAATACACATTCGATTATAAACACAAATCATCGCCCAGAACAACCTTCTAAAGAACAACAATGTGTGCAATGTGCTCTGTTAAAGCCGAAGATGCTAGCAGTCAACGAACGCTCTTCTTATTTGGAGGCGTGCAACACAACATTTCAGGTAAAACAAGGAAAAGTATTTTAGCAACACAATAATAAAATACAAAAATCAGAATTTAATCAAAACATTAAGAAACAAATCAGAATTTAATTAAAACATACTCAAATATATAAATATTCCATAAGAACCAGAATTTAATCAAAACATTAAAAATACAAAAATCAGAATTTAATACAAACAAAAACAAGTATTAATTAAACAAGAAAATCAGAATTTACTAAAAACATTAAAGATACAAGAAAACTAAAATCAGAATTTAATTAAAACAAAATCAGAATTTATTAAAAACATGAATATAAACTTTATAAAATCAGAATTTAATTAAAACAAAAAACACAAAAACACATTCTACCAATATTTATTTAATCAGAATGAACTAATACGCCTGAATGCCAAATGTCTCCTTGCCGAACAATGCATTCGCCGACTCGAATTAGAACTTCGACAATGGCGTGAACGAAACGAAGTTCTCCGCTATCGCCTTTTAGAATGCCGCGAGAAGGCATTGGCAGTCATTGGAGGAACACACATAAATGGGGCTGGGGGAAGTATTTCTACGGCAGATTTGAGCACTTTTTTGGGAGATATGTTGAAAATTACTCTTATTTAAATTTTTAATTTATTTATTTTTATAGGGATTATTTTATTTATTAATTTAAAAGTCTTTCAATTAATTCAAAAATATAGTCTTTCACTTAAAGCTATTTTAGCAATTATTAAATTATATTTAAAGTGCAATTACTAGCTAAATAATAATTTTAATTTATTTTTTAAATATTTAATTTTATTTAAATAAAGTTGTTTTTAATAAGAATTTTGTTTATAAAATAAATAAAATTTTAAATAAATTTCTGGTTTATTAAAATACATTTTTAATATAAAAATTCTGATTTTAGATATAAACTGATTTTAATTTTTTTATTAAATCAGAATTTTAAAATCAGAATTTTGATTTTTATTAAATCAGAATTTAAAAATCAGAATTTTTTTGTTAAATAGGAATTAAAAAATCAGAATTTTTTTTATTTAACCAGGATTTAAAAATCAGAATTTTTTTATTAAATCAGAATTTTTAAATCAGAATTCTGATTTTTATTAAATCAGAATTTAAAAACTAAAATTCTGATTTTTTATTAGAATTTTTAAATTATAATTCTCGTTTGTAGTATTCTGATTTAATTTTATTAATTCATTAATTCACATTGCAGATACATACATATGTAATAATAATATTTGTTTAGTACAAAGGATAAAAGAAAAAAAATGAAAGTGAATGAAGGTGAATGAAGGTGGAAAGAATAATTGGATAAATAAAGGTGTTCTTTTGTTAAGTATTGTTTTTGTTTTTTAATAAAAAAAAATTATAAACAATCCTGTTTTGACATAAAAATTATGTAAATAAAAATTAATGTTTAATGGTTAACAAGAACTTTGAGGTTAATCATTTATAAAGGAACAAATTTTCTGTTAAATAATAATTAAAGGTACATATGATTGAACTTCGTCCTCCTCCTTTTTTCACTTTCCTCAAAATTTACAAATAGTCAGGCTTAAGATGTGTTACAAATACTATCTTTGACCATAAGTACCAGTTCTGCTTTTTAAGAATAATGCTCCCTTACAGTGCAAGTGTACCATAACTCTGTATGGCTAGAGTTCTCTATCTTAAAAAATTTTATGAGATTATCCTCTGATATCTCGCCAACTCAAATAATATTCCTCTTTAATCTATGTTATCTCTTTAAATCTACTTAATCGCTTAAAATTACTCAATATTCTTCATAGGCCACTGATAATTCGTTAAACCTGATAATTCGCATTGCGTTAGTTTTAGGTAATTGTCTCTTGCGACCGCCCCTGCTCCCAACGTTGGAAAGGATTCTAAAAATCATAACTTAACTTATAGTCTTAGGTTAAGTTTTGTAATAAATTTTAAGTCTGACCATTTTTAAAATATCAAGAGTAGAAACTAAGCGGGAATTGAAGTTTAATTTTACCTAATAAAGCAGTTATCGTATTTTCTCGATTAATTCCCCCTCTCGATTGATTCCCCCTCTCGATTGATTCCCCCTCTCGATTGATTCCCCATGCTAGAGTTGGGTTGAAACAATAATTCCCCACCCCAAAATACCCTACTGCACGTTCAAATGCCAAAACTCAAATTATTCCCCTCCCTCGATTAATTGCCCATGCCATGGAATGGTTCAAAAAAATAATTCCCCAGGGGAAATAATCGAGAAAAAAATATAATTTTAAATATTTTTATAACTAAAAATCTTTTTATATATTAAAATGAATTTTGCCGTATTTTTACTTGCTATATTTTTAACTTCATTTGTATTATATGAATTTTCGTTTGGATGTTGTTGTGATTGTTGTTGTTGCAACAACACAACTCAAATGATGAATGTTAGTGGAACTATGGTTCCTATGAATACAGGTAGGATTGAAATAAATTGATACTTAAATTAAACTCATTGGTGTACGGAATTTTCGTCTCTGGAAATTTCGTTTCCAAGACTTTTTGGAACTTTCGTCTCCAACATTTTTGGAATTTTCGTCTCCAGCGGAATATTCGTCACTAAGGAAATAAACGGAATTTTCGTCTCCGAAATTTTCGTCTCCGCTAGGAATTTTCGTCTCCAGAGAAAAAATGATGTGTTCCGTCAACGGAGGATAGTGGTTCATCAACTGGGGATAGTGTTCCGTCAGCGGGGGAAGTTGTTCCGTCAGCGGGGGAAGTTGTTCCGTCAGCGGGGGATAGTGTTCCGTCAACGGGGGATAGTGTTCCATCAACGGGGGAAGCTGTTCCGTCAACGGGGAACACTATCTTCGACCTTTTTTGCAACCTGTTTCCTTACTTTTGTCACCTATTTTGGCATTTTATGCGACCTATTTAAGTACTTATTTTAAGGTTTTTACAACCTAAAAATCCCATCCATACTAAATATATTACTATGAAAAATAAATATTTTTTAAATAGGAGGTTGCGGATGTGACTGTTGTTGTGGGGGTGGCGGCAGTGATTCAACTGCTTTGCTATTGGCACTCTTGGGAAAGAAGCGCCGCAAGAGGCAATTAACTTTTCCGCTTCCTGCTCAAACAAATATATCGGTAGAAGCAAATCAAGAAAATCAAGCAAGAAATATGAGTGAAATAAATAGAGGCAAGAAACAAATTCTTCAAAAAATCCTAAATGCTAAAAATTTAAGGAATACCGATATAATTAAAATTTTTAAATAAACTATAAAATATTTAAGCGATTATTTAAGCGATAATTTTTTTAATTATTAAAATTTTTGCTAAGAAAAAAATTCAAAAAAATTTATCATGCCAAAAATATATTTAAATATTTAAAAATAATAGAGTTCGTTATTTTCAAGTTCGGGTCTTCGAGCTATACCCCCTAAAAGCTCGAAGAAACAGATTCTATCAAGGCTAGAATATCCGTCTTGTTCTCAGACAATGTATGGTTTAGAACTAACGACTAATTTCTAAGGAAATTCTGCCTAAATAATTATACATATATATATATATATATTTCTCTAATATGCATGATTTTTTTAACGATAAAATTCTGTGTTAAACTTATTAATTAGGGATTTTAAAATTTAAATGACATAAAAGAATATCTGGTGTTTTTCTTGTATTGATACTATTAAATTAAAATTTATTTAAAATTTTTAGTTAGATAATTTCAAAATAATTTATTTTCAATAATTCAATAATACAAACAAAGCAAAACAATTTGTATTTGTTTATTTAAACATTTATATTTAAATCTTAATTTTTATTTAAAAATTTTTAAATAATTGTAAATCAATATTCAATAAAATAAAAAGGGCATCATGACACGTAACGTTATTCAATAAATAGCATGACATCCATTATCCATTCATAATCGCATTTCAAAACTCTAATATTCAGTAACACGTAGCGTTATCCAGACACGCATGCTTAATAAGAGGCATTAGATTCCATTATCCATTCATATTAACATTTCAAAACTCTAATTTATAAAATAATAATAAAATCTAATAAAAACTAAAGCTTTATTAACTGTGTATTTTTCTATGGCTACATAAAACGCAAGAAAAAACACTATCCATATCAGTCCGTATCCCATATATCCGCGTATATACAGATATTATTCGTATTCATAAACACGTTTGGTGGAGATATTAAGGGAACTACGATGATGATTAGGATTGCATATCTCGACTGTGGGCAGATATCATTGACTAAGGGAAATATCGGGGGGATTAAATAAACGGATTAAGAGCAGATAACGAAGGATTCGGAAGGCTTACTAAGGTTATAGTTCATTATGAGAAGTTGGTGTGATATCGGAATACCTTAATATGAACATAAGAGCTTCAGAAGTCAAAAAATCTCAAATTCCCCGACTTTCAGGGACGGGGGAGGGGACCAACCCTACTATACAGGCGCATGAAAACACACGGAAAACGTGACTAAAAACATTGAATGCTTTATATTTTAGATAATAATTTAACTAAAGGTGTCAGGTTACTCATAGTATTTTTATTTATTAATTTTTAAATTTAAAATGCACAAAAATTTTTTAGAAATGATATTTAAAACTAAATTTCTCATTTTCTTTAACTTGCTTCAATTTATTATTTTTGTTAAATCTGTAGAATACGATGTACATCTACAATTTAAAATTAATCATTTGGAAAATGATAACTACAAAAATATTAGAATTGAATGCCAATCTGATAACACTCACTTGAACATAAATTTTGTCCCAAATTCAATTGCTACAAACATTTACGAGGGAAAAGCATGCCCCGGAAACAAATATAAATTAGTTATAGCTAAACAAAATGAGGTAAATTTAAATTAACAAAGTAATGTTTTAAGGTTAAAATTAGGGTATGTAGTTGCCCGTCCCCCGACGATTTCTTTTGCAAACCCCCGACCCGAATCACGAAGGCTATACCCCGACAACCCCCGATCTCCGATACATCCGAGGGGAACTACCTTAGTTAAAATTAATATTTTACTATCAAGAATGAAGTCAATCGTGAATTTACTTGCCATGAAGTAGAATCAAATGATAGAGCTTCGTTAATACCAAATGACACAACTATGACTGGTGTAATACTTTATACAGTCGACATACAAAGTATTGGAGAAAACCCCTGTAATAAATCCATAATTTATGTTGGCACTGAATTGTTCCAAACTGATAGATTATTTCATTCGCATCCTACTGTAGGCAACCGGGCGTTGTCGACTTTAGCTAATAGAAAGATGACATTTATGGAGAAAATTTATAATCAACCCAGAATTAATCTTGAGGAATGGCAACAATGGCTTCAGATAGAAACGATAGAATTTTTTTTGAAAAAGCTGGAACACACCGCGAATTATCACCGTCAAAAAACCCGATTAGATTCAATCAAAGACAAATTTTATAAATTAAAAAATAGTAAGATATAGTTCTCTTCCCCAAAATAGATTTCTCGAATCCTCAAGGGGAACTGTTACGGCCCCGCTTACGTAGAGGAAGATAACAGAAGTTTATCACAACGAAACTACAAAGAAGATGAAGATTATGGTAGGAAGAATACTAAAACTGGGAGA